CTGAGATTTCGATTACGGAAGCAATTACTATTCCGCGCAAAGTATACCGAATTTTGTTTATGAAACTCGGTGGGGATACTAATGGAGGTCTTCCTTAACTATATTTATCACTTTCACAATGTTGTTGCTAATAGTACTTAAGTTATTTGTTGTTAAAATATCCCCCCTACTATCACTATTTTTTATTATAAAACTACACTTATCACTTTTATTTAGACAAATATACTATCCTTAAAAGGTTCGCATGCGTTTGTAATACTTTAATATACAATTATTAATTAGTTAATTAAGTAAAACGCGTTTATAAATGTCTTCACAAACTTTAACACATTTCACAAACAATAACAAGCAGAAATAACAATGGCTGACAGTAGTACAAAATGTATGCTACCATACGTTGAAAAAAAAAATACTCCACAAATAAGTGCGTATAATTACGAGGTATAAGTGTACAATACGTACATTGCTCTTATTAAAAATAATCATATTAGGATCGATAGGGGTCTTATTCCTGATCATAACGGTATTATTTTTTTCGGGGAGAAATAATATTTGCTGGTGTTATTGCAGTTCAAAGTACACAAATGTAGAAAACGTAAACCGATAATTTGATAAATAAAAAATCGCGATTTTTTCATAAAAATCAATACCTCGATAAATAATGAAAATTTTTAATAAAAAATCGCGCAATTTTTTATTAAAAATATTCGCCTGTGGCGCTTTTTCCATAAAAATCAATACTTCCAATAATAATGAAATTTTCGACTGCGGCGCTTGTTCCATAAAAATCAATACTTCGATAAATGAGGAAATAAAAAATCGCGCGATTTTTATTAAAAATTTTCGTCTGCGGCGCTTTTTCCTTAAAAATCAATACTTCGATAAATAATGACAATTTTTAATAAAAAATCGCGCGATGTTTTATTAAAAATTTTCGCCTGCGGCGCTTTTCCCATAGAAATCAATACTTAGATAAATAACTAAGTTAACATTTTTATTACAAAATCTCTCGATTTTAGACTGAATTACATTTTTTTTTATCAATACATCGATTTGTGATTAAAAAAAAATTAATTACAATGTCCGTTTTTATTAATTCTCGTTTTCAGTGCTTTTTTTTGGCATTTTTTGTTGTGTGGCAGCACCGACATTTAAGTTCAATTGGTTTGCAAAGCAAAAAGTGAGGTTGAAGTTGACATTTTTTGCAACTTAAGATTCAATTTTCTTAAAAAATATAAGCCCCCCGTTCAGATTTACAATCACAAAAAGCTGCTCAAAACCCCCCTTTTTTTTAAAGGCCGGGTTCCATATTGGAAAATTTTCCCCATATTTCTCTTAAAATTGGGATTTTGTTTGAAAATTTGGCACAGAGAGAAAGTAAAGTGGTCCTTATAATGCCATCTTTGGTGTCACTGTTGCAAGCTCGAGTAACTAATTTTACAGTCCGCTCTGCTGCGAGCGCTTGGCATGTATAAATAGCAAAGGACCATTTCGGCACTGTGTTGTCAGGAAGAAAAAGTTTGTTTATTAGTTCTTCATTTGTTTTTAGCCTAACGACAGGTGGGACAGTAAGGGAATTATCAGTGCTCTCGCAAATAATAATTTTTGTATAATCATCAGCTTCAAAGTTCAATTTGGGTATAATATTATATCGGATGGATTGACAAAGATTTCCCGCCTAATCTTCTCGGGCAATTAATAACTTATTTAATGCATCTTGATGAACTGCCCGTCGAGGATCAGCCATCATGGCAAGAAGAATATTTTCTTGAAGTGCGAGGTATGCATTTGTCTGAATGGATGAATAAACTATAGTTTGGGATTAGTCTCAAAGACATGACCTTGACCATTAGCAATGTAAGACTACGTTCTGACCCTATACTGCATGCCAATATAGACTGTAAGTATATACTTATGTAACTATTTCTATGATTTTGTTGTTGGCTATGACCTATGCTTCTTTAAAAAATATAGAAATTTAATTTACTTAGATACAGTAGACACAGCTGAATTAAATCGGTAAAAATCAATGGTGAAATTATGTTGACTTCAACTGTACATTTGATTCGTATTATATACTTTCAACGCTTTCTGATAAAAGCACAAAGAAAAATTCAAAAAGGTTTGCTTTGAAATCTTGGATCTCTCATCTTTCATGGAGAGGTACATCATACCTTTAAAGTCAGCTAAATTCTCATAAAAAATCGGAGCTTAAATAAAACAGCAAAATTACTGGTTTTATTTTATTTGAATATTATCTAATACTAACTTTTATCGAATACTTATATTTACATAAATACATATAGACGCAAACAAAATGCTCAATTGGAAATTTTGTCAACTTAAATCTTCCACAGTTTTAAATAGGCAGTTAAAATAAACAAATTAAATTTTCAGAATTTTGCTGCGTAAACATTTTTTGTTAGTGCGAATTTCGTTTCATGCAAAATCTCGCGAATACCTGATATTCCTGATACGAAACTAAGCGGGAGTTACTGTATTGTTGTGAATGCATGTATGTATGTATGTTAAATGTACATATTTACCTATAGTAGGGGAGTTCATGATTTGTAGCATTTTAGGCGTAAAGTTGCTACGCAGCTTTTCCAATAACAAAACGCGTGCTAGATGGCTACGTAGCTACTTTGCACCTAAAATTCTTAGCGCTGAACTAAAAGCGAAAAAAATATTTGTTTGTAGATACACACATGCATACATTCTACATATATAGCCAGTTTGGAATTAGTCATAATGAGCTCATTAAGGAATTAAATCGGAATATTTAAATATTAAATAAATTAAAACAACAATTAACAACAGTCTAGTTAACTACTTAATCGACAATATTTTAAATGTTAGCACTCATACATACATATATGTATGTACATACAAATAAATACATACATATGTATGTATGTGTATGAATATTCCGCAAATCTTAAAATCATTCAAGGGCGCTTGTGTTCTTGTAAGAACTATCAACAAACTAAACATCGGTATATAAAACCGCGCAATACTTTGTAATGCTTAGTATTTAGTTAGTTTGCTGAGTGGGAAGCGTGCTAGTTTTATTGGTGAAGATGTTCAAGTTTTTTTCAATGTTGCTCGGCTTAGTGCCATTTCTTGCACTGCAAGTGTTGGCTGGTTTTCGTAAGTGTTAAAAATAAAAGTACTTAAAAAAAAGGCTAGGAGGAAAGTGAAATTCCTATTTGCGTTTGAAGCAGCAAAGATGTGAAAAATATTTTAGTGGTACCGTTTAAATTATGAAAATTACATATGTACTCTGGAGTTTCAACTGTATAGCGGACTTCCCCATTAGAACAAAAAACAACGCAAAAGAAGGAAATTTACATAATTGATAACACCGTGCGAATAAAACCAAAAAAAAAATCAAAACACGCGAAACAATCAATATAATCCCAAAACTATGTGCCAAATATAGTAAAACTGCGCTTTTAGTTTTTCTCTATGATGTTAGAATTTTTTTTAAAGGACTTTGTAATTTCAATGTTACGATTAGTTCCACTAATTACACAGGTTTACAAAAAAAAGTTTCTTCATATTGAACCAAACCTCTGTAATAATAATAATAGATTGGCGCTTACGCATATGTTAGTGTTTGGCCGAGCTTCTATTCCGATTTGTGGCGTGCGCCTTGATGTTGTCCCACAAAGCGGAGGGACCTACAGTTTTACGCCGACTCCGAACGGCGATTGTATTTTTATGAGAAGCGGTTTTTCATGGCAGAAATACACTCGGAGGTTTGCCATTGCCTGCCGAGGGACGACCGCTGCGGAGTGGAAGCGCGCACTGTTTACCACTACACCACAGCGGCCGACCAAACTTCTATATCCCTATGTTCTTCGACGCTCTGAATGCGAATCAGAGATCTGTTAACCTCCATCCCGCCAGGTTCGAGGTCATTTGAAGGTCAAGTAGGGAAAAATTCATTGAATAAACCTTAAAATTTAATAAATTCTTCTACATTTTACCTTGGGATGACCTCTAGATGATCTTGAAGAACTCGGATTTAGTAACAACAAAACCAACCAAAAAAAATTATTCTTATTGAATAAATTGTTGCTAACAGTCCTCGGATTTGTATTCAGCGCGTCGAATAACATAGGTATATAGCGGTTTGGTTCAATATGCAGAAACTTTTTTGTAAACCTGTGCTATTTAAAAATTTCAGTGCAATGTGGAATAACACTGTGGGTATCCATCGAAAGAAAAAGTGCTGTAGAATTAAAAAAATTTTAATTTTTTGGTTCACAAGGACGAATAGTTAGCTTTTGAAAATGCGAAAAACAAAAAAATTCAGAATTTCTATATTTGACCCATGGTTTCGCGGATATTTTAATTTTTTTTTCTTGTAAAATTGGCTGTGGCACGGTGTAATTATAGCAGGTTATTGTGGCTGCCCTCATCTATCGTTAGAAGGATGCAAACTTAGGCCGCCCGCTATGGGCGATATCGTAGAGGAGGCTGCTTTTGTTCTTCCCTTCCTTAGGAGCTAATCCAAATCGTAGTTCTGATAAAGGTCACTAAATCGCAGCAGCTATTTGTACTTAATTTAGTCAAACACTCTAGAAAGTAGTGATGGAACGAACCTCGGCGGCTCCTCGTCAATGCAGGGCAGTGATATATCATCGATGATTTGCAAAACCGCCTAAATCGCCGTAGTGGACAAAATGAGATTTCTGATGTTGCTCGGACCAGGATTCGGACTTACATACAGTGATTCAAACAAATGTTCAGGTGTTGATTTTTTTTTATACCCGAGCGCACTTGTGTACAAGGGTATTATAACTTTGTTCACATAACGGTTGTTTGTAACAGGCAAAACGAATCGAGATAGATATAGACAAATGTATACATAAATGATCAGAATGAAAAAAGAAATCGATTAAGCGGTGACTGTCTGTCCGTCCGTCCGTCCGTCTGTCCGTCTGTGCACACGATAACTCGAGTAAAAATTGAGATATCTTAACGAAACTTGGTACGTGCACTTCTTTCGGGCGTAGGACGGATGGTATTGAAAATGGGCAAAATAGGACAATAACCACGCCTACCTCCCATATAACGGTAATTTTCAGAAATACGAAAACTCCGATATTTTAGTAACTACTGAAGATAATTCACTCAAAATTTATATTTACAATGAGTTTTAGACGAAAAATAAGAATATTAAAAAATGTTGGCAAATGGGCGTAGCCACGCCTACTTATGGTTACATGTGTATATCTTGGTAACCGCTGCATCAATTTCTTCCAAACTTGGCACAGTTGTTGGCCCTGGTACAGCATACCAAATGGCCGAAAATTTTTAAAATCGGACAATAACCACGCCCACATCCCATATAACGGTAATTTCGAGAAATACGAAATCCTCGATAAATCAGTAAATATTAAAGCTAATTTATTCAAAGTCCATGCTTGCAGCAATTCTTTACCAAGAAATACGTTTATGATAAAATTTTGGAAAATGGGCGTGGCACTGCCCACTTATGATCACATATATTTATCTCGGTAACCGTTCTACCAATTTGTAACTCGGTACGGTTATTGTGCTTGCCACAAAACATTGAAAATTATTGAAATCGGACTAAAATTACGCCTACTTTTCATATAACGGTAAATTACAGAAATGCTTGAAATTTCGATAACTCAAAATTTAAGGGCGCTAATTTACTCAATTAATCGCCCTCAAATAATACTCACAATAATCTCTTAAAATAAGATTATTATGGAATTTCAGAAAATGGGCGTGGTAGCGCCCACTTATAGCTGTATAACTTTATCCTATCAAGTATAACTGAACATACTTAGGGAGTTCACAAGTCGGGCTATTTGTCATATTTGCTCTTTTGTACTATTTTTTTAGAACAGTTGTAAAATGAAACTTGTGAGCATCCCATACTTTTTCGTGTGCTATTGTACAATATTTTAACAATTATATTTGACAAAATCAAAATTATTAAAACAGCTTTAGAAAGTTTCTAATGCCCAGAAGAAGCGAGAAAAGCAAATTAATGGCTGCGATTTGCGAGAAGTACGCGCAGGACGCAACGATGGAAGGAAGTGAGTCGTCAAATAAGTCATTTATGAGTTTTTTAAATTTATTTGGTGCATTTTTGTTAGGCGATGAAGATGAGGAGAAAGAGATCGATGAAACTTTTAGGTTGAATATGCTTGTGTTGTTGGCAAATCGCCGAAGTGTCCATCTAGGGGTTCCGAAATCAAACAATTGGGATCTAAATGTGTTACAACCTCAAATAGGCGGTGTTCTAAAAGAAAATCAATTAGGGACTTCTCTTCCGACACTGTCCACACATGGTTTGGTTTTCCCCGGACACGCTTACTTTTGCACTGAATTAAAAAAGATCTTTAATAAGTTAAATATGTTATAAATTAAAGATAACTTACTCCATTGCCATGAGATGACTCCATTTTTATACCCGAGCGCACTTGTGCACAAGGGTATATTAATTTTGTTCACATAACGGTTGTTTGTAACAGCCAAAACGAATCGAGATAGATATAGACAAATGTATACATAAATGATCAGGATGAAAAAAGAAATCGATTAAGCCATGTCTGTCTGTCCGCCCGTCTGTCCGTCTGTCCGTCCGTCCGTGTACACGAATACTCGAGCAAAAATTGAGATATCTCAACGAAATTTGGTATGTAGGTTTCTCTTAATCCAAGGTAGGTTGGTATTGAAAATGGGCGAAATCGGACTTTAACCACGCCCACTTCCCATATAACGGTAATTTCCAGAAATACGAAAACTGCGATATTTTAGTAACTACTGAAGATAATTCACTCAAAATTGATATTTACAATAATTTTTAGACGAAAAATAAGAATATTATAAATTTTTGGAAAATGGGCGTAGCCACGCCCACTTATTGTTACATGTGTATATCTTGGTAACCGCTGCACCAATTTCTTTCAAACTTGGCACAGTTGTTGGCCTTCATACAGCATAAAAAATCGCCAAAACTTTTTAGAATCAGACAATAACCACGCCCACATCCCATATAACGGTAATTTAGAGAAATACAAAATCTTCGATAAACCAGTAAATATTGAAGCTAATTTATTCAAAATTGATGCTTGCAACAATTCTTTACCAAGAAATACGTTTATGGTAAAATTTTGGTAAATGGGCGTGGCACCGCCCACTTATGATCACATATAAGTATATCGGTAACCGTTCTACCAATTTGTACCAGACTCGGTGTGGTTATTGTGCTTGCCACATGTAAGTAAAACGTTGAAAATTATTGAAATCGGACTAAAATAACGGCCGCTTCTCATATAACGGTACATTTCAGAAATGCTTGAAACTTCAATATTTCGAAATTGAAGGGCGCCAATTTACTCAAAATTGATACACCTCGGCTTACCATCTAGCGGTAGCTTTCGGAAAAGTGAAAAAAACATATATTTAATACTTGCGCGGGGTATTTAATGTTCGGCTTCGCCCGAACTTAGACTTTCTTACTTGTTATATTTACAATGTTTTTCAAGTTAAATTTTTTGCTGTTTTTCCATTGATATATTTATAGTCCAAGCTTTATATAACATTTTGGAGAATTCAACAAAATTTCATCAAAACCTCGAGTTGTATAATCTGAATTATGAGAAAATTTCTAGCCCATAAATTGAAGTGGTAGTTTCAACCGGCTAAAAACCTCTGAACTCTTGATTTGTCTTTTTACATTTTTCGATGAAACCTACATACTTTCGGCAATAAACATTTTTTTTAAATAGTCCTGCTAGAATAAAATACTTCCCAAGTGGCTAGATTATACAAGTAGTAGTGCGGGCGCAATTTTTAAACTTTCCATGCACAACGCAAACGGTTTGATCAAACTTCAACATAGCGGCCAGAAAATAAAAAAATTTTTAATTCTTATTAATATTAAAATTAAAATTACCTTCAGCGTCTCTACAAACCCCCTACACAACACAAATGGCTTGCAACAAAGGGATATTTCGCTTGGTTTGTCAAGCAGCTTGTGTGGTGTATTTCGCTCTTAAGCGTAGTTCCCCAGTATTTTCAGAAAAATTGCCGAAAACGTACCCTTTTCACAACCATTTTCGGTACTTATGTAGACTTAATCCGAGTTTCATCCACTTTTCAACAAATGCTTACATAAACAAGTAATTTTTAAGCAAAAAACCAAACCGACTTCAATTCCCATATAAAAATTTAAGGTTATCGTTAATCTTTTTATGATACAATGATCTAATTTAAATTAGAATGGGACCACCTGTGAGGTAACACCTTTCCTTAAAAAAAAATAATTATAGTAATCGGTTTACGTGGTCCAAAGTTATGCGATAATATACATACAAAAATATAAAAAATATTCCGACGAATTGATAACCTTCTTCTTTTTGTGAAGTCGGATAAAAACAAATGCACCAGCAAGCTTTCAGCGCCAAATGATTTCAGGATAAAATTGTCAAAACTTATAGGAAATAATGAAATCATCAAAACAATTTCAGTCCTCACATTAAAGCTAAAGAGCATAAAGTTTGCATTGTGTTTTCTTGTTTTCGTAGACATTTGACATTTTAGCAGAACAAGGGTGCCGCGGTGAAAAAAGTTTGGGAATTCCTGTTGAAGAGAGTAAAACACTCATATTTCAAAATGGTTCTCTTTTTTATAAATCAATCGCATTTCTGGCTAGTATATTTCAGGGCGAATGGATAAGGATTGAGCCAAGAGCTTGTGTAAGCAAATCTAATTTTTGGCAGCAAATGTAAGTTACGCGGTTTTGTACTTTAAACGACGATATGTGTGTACTAGGGAAGTTAATTTTTTCGCTTTTAACGATCCCGGGATTTTTGGGGTGTCGTTATCACAATTCCGGAATCCTGGGATTTAAAAATTTTTTACTTTTCAACAACTTTAGTCGAAAAAATAGCTTCTACCTCACCTACCATAAAATAAATAATAAATAAATGGGTTTGAAACCTACTTTTTTATTTAAAGTGGCGTTTTTATTTTTTCTCTTGACGTCAGGATTTATTTTAAAGGAGTTTATAATTTCAAAGATATGATTAATTCCAAAAATTGTTTAAAAAAGTTCAATGCAATGTAGAATAAATATATCGAGCCCTAACGTCAAAATAGCGTAAGCGACATTTATTTTTTAATTTTCTTTTTGATGCAGAAATATTCCTAGAGCATCTAGATGCCTTTCTGCATCAAAAAGTAAATTAAAAAAAATGTCGCTTACGTTATTTTGGCAGTTAGGGCTCGATATGTGTACCAAATAAATATTCACAGTACGCCAAATCTTAGAAAAGACCCGCGAGAAATGGATCGACACTCACCACATATTTGTTGACTTTAAGGCCGCTTTTGACAGCCTATACGCCGCTATGTCTGAATTTGGCATCCCCTCAAAACTCATACGGCTGTGTCAAATGACGTTGAGCAATACCACCCGCAACGTCAGAATTGGGAAAGACCTCCTGAGCCGCTCGCCACTAAACGGGGTTTCAGACAGGGCGAATTTCTTTCGCGTGACTTCTTTAATCTGATGTTGGAGAAGATAATAAGAGTTGCAGAGTTGAACCGCTCAGGAACAATTTACTACAAGAGCATGCAATTTCTGGCCTATGCTGATGACATCAATATCATTGGTATCAAAAACCGCGAAGTCTGTTCTGCCTTTTTCAAGTTGGATAAGGAAGTAAAGTGAATGGGTCTGGTAGTAAACGAGGACAAGACGAAGTATCTCCTGTCATCAAACAAACAGTCAGCACATTCGCGCCTTGGCATCCACGTCACTGTTGACAGTTGCAATTTCGAGAAAGTAGAGAATTTCGTTTACTTGGGAACCAGCATAACACCGATAATAATATCAGCATTGAAATCCAACGTAGAATCACTCTTGCCAACAAGTGCTACTTTAGACTGAGTAGTCAATTCAGGAGTAAAATCCTCTCTCGACGTACGAAAACCACGCTCTATAAGTCACTCATCATGCCCGTGCTGGTATATGGCGCAGAAGCATGGGCAATGACAACATCCGATGAGGCGGCTCTTGGAGTGCTCGAGAGAAAGATTTTGCGGAAGATTTACGGGTCTTTACGCGTTGGCGACGGCGAGTACCGCAGACGATGGAACGATAAGCTGTATGAACTTTACAACGACATGGACATAATGCAGCGAATTAAAATACAGCGGCTCCGCTGGCTTGGCCATGCTCCAGCTCTGAAAGTATTAAACTCGGAACCCGCTGGTGGTAGCAGAGGAAGAAGGAGGCCCCCACTGCGATGGAAAGATCAGGTGGAGAAGGACTTGGCTTCACTTGGCGTTTCCAATTGGCGTCAGTTGGCACAGAAGAGACTGGCGTGCTTTGCTGAACTCGACCAAATTCGCTTAGGCGGCTACAGCGTCAAATAAGAAGAAGAAAAGTACCAAATGGAAGAGAAATTAAAATTTTTTGTATTAGCAAGGACGAATAGGTAATTTTTTAAGCTGATAAAGTTAGAAGGACGAAATTCGAGGATTATATCGGATTTATATAACTTCTTAACATATAATTTGATTGAGTTTTTTAAATCATTTTTGAATTACTGACGTCAGAGTGAAAAACGAGCACACCTAAAAGTTAAACGTTCTAAAAATAGAATTATTAACAAAAACCAACAAAACCAAAGACCACATGATCAAGTTTAAATAGCACTGGAATATCTGCGCTTGATTGTATTTGGCTTACAAGAAAAAAGTGGAAAAAGCAACAACATATTATAAGGCGAACTTAGCACAGTGCGTAGGCAACTGGCTGAGTCAGCTGTGGTCGTCGGTTCGAATCCTGCTGAAGAAGTCTGATAAGGAAATGTGGTGATTTCCGAAATGGCTATCACTTCTACCATTTTTTCAAATTGTAGTTGCTTTTCCACAATAGTTTTTCATTAAAAGCGGCCTCAATCTCAATAAAAAAATTTTAATATAATTGTTATAAGGCCATAACTAATAAAAAAATTTATAAATATATATTTTATATTATTATATTATTATTATTACATTATACTTTGTACGTATGCAATGCAATTGACGTTTTGGAAGTCAGCCTTTATTTTATTTAGTAGTTATATTCAAATATTGACCACAACAACTAACTTACAATTTTTCAATTCTAGCTAATGACCCAAAGCCATGCCAGTACGGTGACAGAGCTTGTTTAATGAGTACTATTGAATACCTGATGCATAACAAGTCTCAAGGTAAGATTTTCTACAAATCGTTCGATTTTAAATCGGTGCAGTAACAGTTTTAACTCAAAATATCAGGGACCGTAACGGTTATAACTTTCATAATAAAAATTACTTTTTAATAGTTATTAACTGAGTTTTATTTTTTGCTCGGTCGTTACGTTTCAAGTTTTATTTTTTGATCGGAAAATAATGGCTATTTTTGGGGTTAAATTTTTTGCTCGGAAAATAATCGTTACTTTTGAGTTTTATTTTTTGCTCAGAAAATAATCATTTTTGAGTTTTATTTTTTGTTCCTAAAATAATCGTTATGTTTCAAGTTTTATTTTTTACTCGGAACATAATCATTACGTTTTAAGTTTTATTTTTTGCTCGGAATATAATGGCTATTTTTTGAGTTTCATTTTTTGCTCGGAACGTAATCATTACGTTTTAAGTTTTATTCTTTGATCCGAAAATAATGGCTATTTTTGGAGTTTTATTTTTTGCTCGGAAACTAAAACTAAATTTTTGCGTATGCGTATGCGCATGCGTGAATACACAGGGGGCGCACAGTACTTACCTTCCATATAAAATGTAGGCAAAAATAGAATTATGTACGAATTTAAATGAAAATTCGTTCTTAGTAAAATTGAGGACGCTAAATTCAAAAATGCCATTTGTTTGGATAACTTTCATACTTTCACTGTAAATGCAGTTTGAAGTTGAAAATTTTCGTTCTTGTGGCTTTTAGTTCGTTCTATTTTCAAAAGTGAGGTGTCAAATAAAAGAGGTTGGCCTGTAGATGTGCAATAAAGTTGTTTTATTTTTGAAAAGGGTTGCCACCTGCTACAAATTTTATTAAAATTATTTAATAAGTTAAATGAATTAGATATTGCAATATGGGTATCAATTGAACTAGTTTTGAAAATACTTTACTTCTAAACGACGCAAGTTTAAGAAATCAAATTCACTTTAATTAAGGGAATAAGGTAACTGAAATATGTATATCCATATAAGTATCAAACAAATGAAAAAATGTGACATATTTAGCAAGAAATAAGTGAAGAGTAAAAACACTCCTGATTTAATTTAAGAGTCCAGTAATTTAAAAGAAATGTAATCATCTTCATCTTCAACTCTATCTCCATTTTCATCTCCATCTTCGCCTTAATCTTAATCTTCATCTTCATCTTCAGGCTTGTCTTTTTATTTATCTTTAACATTGTCCTGTTCTTCATCTTTATCATTAGCTTGATCCTTCAATATACGTTGTAAGTGTCTATGGCTTTATCGTTGCCCTTGTCTATGTTTTTGCCCTCATTTCTTGCTTTCTGCGTTTTCATTACCCACTCCACAGTGGCGTTAAAAGTCCAATGTAGCCGCCCCAGCATGCGCATAAATTTAGTTTTATTTTCTGAGCAAAAAATAAAACTTACTTTTCCGAGCGAAAAATTAAAACTTAAAACATAAAGATTATTTACCGAGCAAAAAAATAAAACTCAAGAAATAACGATTATTTTCTGAGTAAAAAATAAAACTCAAAAAAAATTATTTTGCTTACAAATACTAAAAACAATTTTGCGATTTTCTCCGATTTCAAATCGTATGATTACTAAAACACAACGTACAAAAATAATATATTTTAAAAACTTTTAGGCTTCGCCTCGCTAAATTTAGTTAAGACCGAGCCTTTAAGAGTTGCAAAGATGGTAATGAAGCAAGGTGCTGAGAGTCCAGTCAACATTGATTTGACCTTTATCAATAACGATATAACTGGCTATAGCAGAATCAAGATGAAGGATGTGAAGTATGTACGATGATTGCTGGTTTTTATACGCACCCACAAATATAGTTCTTTAAGAAAGTATCAGGGCAATTCTGGCTAAGATAGTTGAAGGTTTTTTGTAAGGCAATTGAAAGACATTAGAGAAGATATGTAGTTTGAAAGGTTTTGTTTATTCTGGCACGAAATTCTTACAAAATAAAATTATAGTTTAAAAAACTAGAACCTCCCTATTATAATTGCCATTCGTACTGTCATCAAGTATGTAACTTGAGAATAGAAATCGCTGCATCTTTTAGGCGCATCAATATTACATAGTTACATCCCGAGCTAATAAAAGGAAGGTAAAAAAAGCTCCATCTCTGCTTAGACTTTGTTGCTTTTTCCATTTTGCCTAGCAAATCGTGACACAAAGCTCAATAACATTGTTAAAAGTAAATATTATTACGCCACAATAATAATAACGAAAAATATATTTTTTTCTAATTTCATTTAACTTTGGAAACTTATTTTAAGTATTTTTTCCCCATTTTCTTTTAAATTTTAGATTTAAATGTTTTAAAAATAAAAATATTTTTTTATTTCATTTCATTTTTAGAAACATTTAATTTTTTAATTTTATTTATTCAGCTTTTTTAAATTTAGTTTTCTTCTATTTTTTGATTTTATTGTAAAAAGAATAGTTTTAATTTCATTTAATTTTTAGGAGCGTTTTTTTTATTTTATTTATTTAATGTTTTTCCTTTTTGGTATATTTTTTTTATTTTATGTTTTAAAAAGTAAAATATATATTTTTCTAATTTAATTTAATTTGTAGAAACTTATTTTATGTATTTTTTTCTCTTTTAACTAATTTTTCTTTTTTTTCCTTTGACTTTTAAATTTAGTTGTTAAAAAAAAAATTTTTTTTTTCATTTAATTTAATTTTTAGAAACATTTCATTTTTTTTAATTTCATTTATTTTAGCTTTTCTTAATTTAATAATAATAATAGTACACATACGTTAGTGTTTGGCTTCTGCTCCGGTTTGTCGCTTGCGCTTGCGAATGGCGATTATATTTGTATGAGAGGCCGTTTTTCATGGCAGAAATGCACTCGAGTGTTTGCCATCGCCTGCCGAGGAGCGACCGCTATTAGAAAAACATCTTTTTTTGGTTTTTATTTTTTGGTATTGGGTTCAACCGGACTGAACACCCGCACTTCCAAACACTACACTATTTTTTTAATTTAATTTTCTTTTTTTTTTTTGTGTCATTAAAAAAATATATATTTTTTTATATAGATATCATTAATATTTAGGAACTAATTTTTTGTCTTAATTATCTTTCAATCTTCAGATTTTATTGTTTTAAAAAGAAAAATATTGTTAAAAATTTTATTTAGAAACGATTTTTTTTTATTTAATGTTTTTCCTTTTTAATTTTTGTTTAAAAAAAAATTTAATTAAATTAAGAAACATATTTTTTTAATTTAATTTAATTGTTGGAAACTTTTAAACTTAATTTTTTATATTTTAATAACATTTTTTTAATTTATAGAATTAATAGTAAAAAAAAAAATTTGTTTTTCGCTTCATTTAATTTTTAGAAATTTATTTCGTTCCTCTTTAATTTTATTTATACATAGCAATAAGCAATGTTGAGTGTGAATTCAATTTTTTTTTTTATATTTTCTTTTTCAATTTCATTTAATTTTTAGGAAGCTATTTTATTTTTTTATTTTATTTTAACTTTTAAATGTTATTGTTTTGAAAACAAAAATATATTTTTAATTTTATTTAATTTGTGGTGGATCATTTATTATTATTATTTTTTTTTCTTTTTGAAATGTAATTTTCCTAAATTTGTAGTTTTTATTGTTATAAAATGAAAAAAAATTATTTTTAATTTCATTAAGCTAAAAGAAAATTACTTAATTATCTTAATCTTAAATTTACGTTTCTTTAAACTTTTAGTTTTTAATAAATATTTTGAACAGAAAAAAAAGGCTATTCTATTAAATTTTTAGAAAACTATTTATTAAATGACCTACAGAATAAAGCTAAGACCTTCTCGTTAGCAAATCTTTCAATTAGTCTTTAAAGACAGAAAAGTGGTTTCAAAATAGCTGCCATTATTGACAAATATCTTACGAAAGACTTTTTTCCTTCGAAAGACTGTGTTGAGTTGAATTGCCCTGTAAATTTCAATACATCTACATACAAATGTACATATATATATTTACATGCGTACCTGCATTAATTTTCACTTGCAGGGGCTTCGGAAAAGATTTAGGAACAAAGCACGATCTTTACGCTGTCGCGCCTGTCCTCAGCATGATTGGCGATTACACAATTAAAGGACGTGTACTAGTGCTACCGATAACCGGCACTGGCAAAAGCAATATCACAATGGGTATGTTGTGAATTAGAAAACCTTTATGTAAATCTGTAATTCAAAATGTACATTTTTATCTTATATATCTAAATAGTTAATGTACGAATTCATATTCGTTTTACTGGCGTTCCAATGGAGAAACCAGACGGTCTATACATGAAGGTGAAGGATGTGCGTTTAGATGTGCAGCCAGATAAAATGATTTTCAATTTTGACAACCTTTTTAATGGTGACAAGATGCTGGGTGAGACGATGAACGGTTTCCTTAACGAAAATTGGAAGGATATTTATCATGAGGTGCGTGATAGCTTCAACGAAGCTTTTGCCCAAATTTTCACCACCGTTATAGACACAGTGTTTAGTAAATATCCTTATGAGAGGTACTTTACGGAATGAAATTCTAATTTAAGACTTTTCTTTATTTAGTTTATGTAAAATCAGTTTAAGTATAAGCGAATCTTACAGTTTTATATTTAGTTCATACAATATGTACCTGTAAAAGCATACTTGTACATACATATGTATTATTACTGTTTTATAGCTGTCTGGCCTCATTATATATATGTGTATAAATATTGTAATAAAAACTTTTCTAATATAGTAAAGATTTAACTACCTTTTAATGACCATGCTATGAATGCCAATATTATCACCAGCGTTCTGGCTGAACACAACTCTCAAGCTAAAAAGGTCAAGAAATTTTTACTTATTCCGTTCTGAAAAACGCTATTAAAAGAATTGGCATTCTATGTTTTTTCAGTAATAACTGGGCGTGTTTTTTTTTTTTAATTAAGCAAATTTTTTGGATACATAGGGATGAATTGATTAGGTTGGGCTTGATTAATTTGGCCATCCTTGAGCCACACATATACCGTTTGGTCCTTAGCGTTGCCAGTTGAAGCTTGATATTAAGCGTTAAAGAAGGCATCAAAAAGAATTGTATCGCTTTTTGCGAATTTCAGCTCAACTTCTACTTTCAGTTCGTCTTCAAGTTCTCCTTTTTGACAATGTGGGACAACGGTATAGAAGATGCTGCTGCACCTGTCCTCTTAAGATATGCATCGTAAGCAATCCGGTAGCAACTCTGCAATCCTCCCTTGATAGCCGTAACAAGAAGCGAGTACACTTAGGTCTCTCTTTATACGGCTTTTTTTATGCGGATTTGAATTTATGCAGTTTTTCAAACCATTATTTCGCAGTAGAGATTTTGCTTTTTTGAGAGTTTTCATTACTTTTTTTCATTGTGTAAGAGACAATGCTTCTGATAAATAATTTGTCTTGTATTCTTACATAATTCATGTATTTATTGTGGTACTTTTTTTTTTTTTGTTAAAATACAAATTTTATTTATTTCATTAATGTTCAGTTTTACATGGAATAATAAGTATTGAAGTGAATAAATAAATAGTTTTTTCTTGCTTAATAATGCCTTACTGGATTTTTTATGCAGTTTTTTAGAATTTTTTACCTGGAGTATCTAAATTTATGCGATTTTTGAAAATGCTAGAACGCATCACATGTTTTTGAAGAACTTTTTTATGCGGATTTTTTTTTATGAGGCTTTCTTAGGAACGCATGTATCGCATAAAAAGAGACCTAAGTGTAAGTTAGTTTCAACGTTTCGCACAGGTGGTTAACTCATTCAATCTAGCTCCGAAGTACCTAATCAGACTATCTTACCCCTCCTTATAAAAGCTTGGGGGTGGTCCATAAATATTCTAGAGTTAGACTGATGGCCAGGACTGCCAACTATCCTTAGCTATGAGGTGCCATATTGAGGATAAAAAAGTACCAAAATGTGCCAAATAGAAAAATAGGTGGCATTCTTTTTAAACCTTCATATTTATCTATAAAATAAGAACCACATTTCTAAAACAAAAGTGAAATGATAAAATAAGATAAGGCAGTTGAAAAACCTTTAGAAATTAGAACATTTTAGTTGAGCAAGAAAAGTACACGCAAAAGATTTCACAAAAATTTATTGAAATGTTATTTTTTTGCAAAAGTGTCAATTTAAATAAAATAGGGCCAAAAATGACACGGTTTAAGCCAAGGTGCTAGCTCTTCTTGGCAGTCTCATCTCCTATTTCATTGCCCTCTATTCCTTTGTGGCGGCCGGACACCCTGTTAAAGGCTTCCCGGCTACGAAGGACGTTTTTAGATGAAATTCTCTGAGGTGACTGCCGTAACTGCCGCCTAATTGTCAACGTATGAGTTTACTTTTCAGTTGGTTTTCGTTTCGGTGTAGGCCAGCTCTGCTAGCGACAAACTCTGCTTGAAATATGTAGTACTAGTCGGATACAAGTAAGCTTACTACCCGCCTGACATTCAGTTCCTGGCAATATATTTCGGCACCCAATGCCTTTACCGTCAGTGAAAAAGATGAAGGATATACGGCCAGGTTTTATTGTTTGCACAACCCGTCCTCCTCAATTGTTATACGAAACAATTTTGCCTTGACCTAGGATTCTGTAATTGAATTTCCCTATGGCCGTCAATCTACCTGTGGATGATGCAGATTTAGCAGCGAGGAGCTGGTCGGGCGAATGGTACAGCTGTTATGCAGAATTTAGTCTGATGAGTACATACCCCAAGACTGGTATCTCAGTGTACTCTGTCCAATCAACAAGAAGGGGGATCCCGCTATTTGTTTATAGAGTCCTGTCGGCGATACTGTGTGAAAGACTGAGGCCCTTCACGAACCAACTTATTGGACCTTACCAATGTGTTTTCAGGCCTGGTAAGTCTATTATTGCCGAGATTTCCACAACAGTCAAATCCTGCAGAGGACACTAAATACTCAAATTGACCACACCATCTCTTTGCAGATTTTAAATCTGCTTTTAATAACACGAAGAAAAGCTACCTTAACGGCGACATTTCTAGATATGGGATAAGGGCAAAACTAAGAGTAACCTTCAACACAAACTTCAGCTCTGTTCAAATTGGGATGGACCTCTCCGCGCTGTTTCAGATGAAACTAGGTTTTAGACAAGGCGATTCATTTTCATGCGACTTTTTCAATCTGATGCTGGAAAGCTTAATAAGAGCTGCCAATCTGAATCGCAGTAGTACATATGCATATGATATCGACATCGTTGCATATGATAGCCAACACGTGCTATTTTGGAATCGGTAAAGCAGAGCCATCTCTCGACGAAAGAAAGTCACGCTCTACAGAGTATCCCGTTTAAACGGTGCGGAAACGTGCCCGATATCGACCAAAGATGGGAAGACCTTCGGTGATTTTGAAGGAACTATTCTACGCAAGATCTACGACCATGTTTGCGTGGACGACGGGTATCGAAGAACATGAAGTGACGAACTGTATGAACTTTTTAATGACGTGGACATAGTTATGCGCATAAAAAGACAACTATTCGATCCGATCATCCCCAATGAGTGTTCAACATGGTGGGGAGCAATAACATCATACGCAATAAGGCTATAATGGCTTTATTTCGTTTCCTCCAAACACCCATCCTTGATCAAAAAAAAAATTAGTAGATATCTACAAATGTAAATTTATGTAGATGCTGCAAATGTATATGTAAAATTATAAAATTCTAATTTCAACAATCAAACAGACAAATTCGGCCAACAAAATTTCAGCTTGCTGCATTTTTATCTATTTTAGTATATTTAAAGGACAATTATGGTACAAACGGAAAATGTCAATCGGCAACCATAGTCAGCGCACACTAAAGTAAACAAACCGGAGATTAATAGTAAATTAACTAAAGATAAACTCAACAAACCTTGTGCTTTACTCTTGTTCGTTGTATACTAGCATTAATAATAAAATTTGCCATGAATAATTCAAAAATGTCATATTTTTTTGTTTATTTACAATATGTTTGTGATCAGCTGATTTACGTACTTGCAATTTGTTGCTGGGACAAATTTTTCCAGCAGAAATTTTCAGTTCTCTATCACGTCTACTTTGCAAGTTTTTGGGGTACGAAAACGCAAAACCAGTAAAAGTTTTCTAAAACTTTTGATAGCTAATAGGTTTGTTCGTCGAAAAACCAGCAAGAATTATCCAACACTCCAAATATCAGAGAGTAAGAAAAAATTCTCTCTCATGTTGAGAAACTTGCAAATTTCTGCACAAACGCAAATTTTCAGGAATTTGCAAGTTTCCTTGCTAGCTGGTGTCCACGGTTGCATTTCAAACATAAAAAATTTTTATAGAATTCTTAAAATTCTTTCGGATGGCCAAAAACAGGATATACATGTATATTTCTTGTTGTTCTGACTTGTTCTAACGTACATTTCAATTTCTTCATCGTACTAGCTAACTTTTTTTAACATACATTTCAATCTCTTCATCGTATTTGCAGTCGGGTTTCTTAAATCGCCTCTGGTTACAAATGCATCCCGATTGCGAATACAATTTTTTCAGCCGAGTTAAGTTCAAATCATTGGAATTAACTAAATTAATTATATCAACAATTATTTACTTCCTTTTTTCATAAAAAAAATCGCTCGTGTTTATAAATTTTTAAATTTAACGAACTTCTTCTTCTTCTTCTTATTTGGCGCTGTAACCGCCTAAGCGATTTTGGCCGAGTCCAAAACAGCACGCCAGTCATTTCTCTTCTGTGCTAACTGACGCCAATTGAAAATGCCAAGTGAAGCCAAGTCCTTCTCCACCTGGTCTTTCCAACGCAGAGGAGGCCTTCCTCTTCCTCTGTTCCCAGCATCGCGGCCCGCGTTGAATATTTTCAGAGCAGGAGCGTTTCTGTCCATCCGAACGACATGGCCAAGCCAGCGGAGCCGCTGAATTTTAATTCGCTGCACTATGTCTATATCGTTGTAAAGCTCATACAGCTCATCGTTAAATCGTCTGCGATATTCGCCATCACCAACGCGTAAAGGTCCGTAAATCTTTCGCAGAATCTTTCTCTCGAAAACTCCAAGAGCCGCCTCATCAGATGCTTTCATTGTCCATGCTTCCGCGCCATACACCAGCACAGGCATGATGAGTGACTTATAGAGTGTGATCTTTGTACGACGAGAGAGGACTTTACTTCTCAATTGCCTACTCAGCCCAAAGTAGCACTTGTTGGCAAGAGTGATTCTCCGTTGGATTTCAAGGCTGACATTATTATTGGTGTTAATGCTGGTTCCCAAATAAACGAAGTCGTCTACTTTTTCAAACTTGTAACTGTCAACAGTGACGTGGGTGCCAAGACGCGTATGCTCTGACTGTTTGTGTGCTGATAGGAGATACTTCGTTTTGTCCTCGTTCACCACCAGACCCATTCGCTTTGCTTCTCTATCCAATCCCGAGAAGGCAGAACAGACGTAGCCCTTGTTTTTACCGATAATATCGATGTCGTCGGCATACGCCAGCAATTGTACGCTCTTATAAAGTATTGTGCCTGAGCGGTTCAGTTCTGCGGCTCTTATTATCTTCTCCAACATAAGATTAAAGAAATCACACGAAAGGGAGTCCCCTTGTCTGAAACCTCGTTTGGTATCAAACGGCTCGGAGAGGTCCTTCCCTATTCTGACGGAGCTGGTGGTATTGCTCAACGT